TTTAATTTTGTTTTTGCCCCCCCCCCCCCCAGCCAAAATCTTTTGAGTCTCAAGTTCTGAGAAAATGGTGGAAAAGCAGTTTGGAACTGCATTGTAAAATCGAAGCCTTCTCAACTTGATGGCTGTACGAATTTTAATTGATTTATGCTTCTTATTTCTCAGAGACTGATATACGACTGTCTCAATCATATGCTAACTTGGCTAAGGTCTGAATTTTGACGCTAGACGAGAAAAATGAAGTTATTTTGTTCAAAGGCAGAGAGAAGCTTGTCTTGCTTTTCCTTTGAGTTTTGATATGGCAGAATAATGATTATCGACCAAACATGAAACATATGATATTTCTGCTTCTTTTGTTGCTTATGCTGTGAGCATTTTGTGAGCTAAGAAAAATACAAAAATTATTGCTGACTGACCTTATAACTTATAAGCTCTTGCATATTCCAGTGAATTTACTTGGCAATTTGGTTTTTGTCACTGGGTTGTCAACCTCTTCAGGTTATTATTCTTCTCTTCCTTACTTCCGCAAGAGATCCAGGCATTATTCCTCGTAATCTCCACCCTCCAGAAGATGAAGGCTCAAGCATATCTGTTGACTGGCCAGGAAGTCAGGTTGCTGGCCCAAGTTTACCTCCAACAAAAGATGTAATGGTGAATGGGATGGTAGTCAAGGTCAAATACTGCCAAACATGCTTGCTATACCGCCCGCCACGATGCTCTCATTGTTCTATATGCAACAACTGCGTTGAGCGTTTTGATCATCATTGCCCGTGGGTGGGGCAATGTATTGGCAAGGTATGTTCCAGTTTAACAGTGTTTCTACCATGCATATTTTGATTTAATTATGGATTCGGTTCTTATTTTTTTTCGAATTATTTTCTAGTGGATTCACATTTTGATTGAATGCATTGTTCCTACAATTTTAAACCTTTTGGCTTGGTATGTGCCAATGTGATGGCCTTCAACTCTCTCATTTGATAGTGCATCCTCCACCACATATATCGGATAAATGGTTTGAAATGCTTCTGTAGTAGACTCCACACAGGGTCTGTCCTAACTATGGAATATATGTCTTTCCGCTAAACAGAGTGTATTGAACTCATAATTCATTAGATACTTTTTACATTAGGTACTTTTTATGAATGTCAACTAGGTATCGTAAGTAAATTGCTCCCGGCTCTTCCGTCATTTGTTAACCAAAGTTATTCTTTGATAAATGATCACTATGGGTCAGACTCAATAGAATTTGATCCAAAGACAACTGAATATACTGTCGTTAGGCATGTCATGTGGTGGTTCATGGTGAGCGCATTCATAGTTACACTCTTATTAAGTGTGACAGATACTGAATCCCCTGGCTTTCTTTGAGTGTTTCTGTTTTGCCAAAATGGACTGGAAAAGAAGTTAGAAAAACAAAAAAGATTGAGCTAGTAAAGAATGCTTGATTTTATTTTTAAAAATGCAGATACTTGTTCATTATGGCATAGATTTCCTTAAATTTTCCCAACCAATTTTTTTTTTTTTTTTTTGGGGGGGGGGTGTTGATTAGCAGTGATATGTCAAATCAATAACCTGTTAAATTATAATATTCATGTAAGTAGTTTGATCCTAGGTCATATGGCATGAGCCTTTACATTCCAAACTGCAACATTTGGTATGTATTCCAAGATTTGTGCATTTTCTTATTCTAGAATTTGTTTTATTTTATTTTGGGGAAGATTTTTTCATCATACAACTGCACAGGTATTAATTAGGCATCCCAGGCTATGTTTTGCCAGCATAGCTAAATAAGCATTTTTCAGAGCTTTCCAAATCACAGATTTCCTGGTTGACTTTGTGGGGTGTTTGAGATACAAGGCATGGGTTAAAGAGGCGAAACATCCTGTAATTGGGATTGACTTACTAATGATGATGATTACACTCAAGATGATTCTTCAGTGTATTCAGTTATTTTTTTGTGAAAACTTGGTTTCAAATGGCTCATAGTACTATTGATATCCTGTATGCTAATTATATATAGTTCTGACGTCTTAAGATTTTTCTGATTATACTATACTGGTTTTTGATATTAAATTGCCGTCTTACCTTCATAGACCTGACTGGTTAGAGTGTTCTGTTGACAGAGGAATTACAGATTCTTTTTCATGTTTGTGTCATCCACAACGATGTTATGCCTCTATGTTCTTGCATTCTGCTGGGTCAACATCAGGAAGATAATGGGTGCATATCATTGCAATATGTGGACGGCCTTTCTGAAGTCTCCTGTTTCAGGAATCCTGATACTGTACACATTCATATGTGCTTGGTTTGTTGGCGGCCTCACCGCATTTCATCTGTACTTGATATTCACCAATCAGGTTGCGATTTTCTCCTCACCCTCACTTTTCTGTTCTGAATCCTTTACTCCTCATTATGCAGCTTGCAAGTTATTTTATTTTTTTGCAGACAACATATGAGAACTTCCGGTATAGATATGATGGAAAGATGAATCCTTACAACATTGGTTGCATTCGTAATGTTCTGGAAGTTTTCTTCTCAAAAATCCCAAAATCAAAGAACAAATTCCGGGCAAAGGTCAGGGTCAAGTCATCATCTAGCTATGCCAGTTCAATGCCATTGGGCGATTCCTTGAGCCCAGAGGTGCCCAAAAGGAGCTTTAATATAGAAGTGGGCAAACGACAAGCTGTTGCTGATGAGGATTTTGAAGATATACAAAGTCAGATTGACAGTGTTGGTGGATTGGAGAGGTGTGGAACCCAGCCAAGACACACAAATTGGGATCGTAAAGCCAACTGGGAGATAACACCAGATATACATGTGTTAGCTGCTGAGTTTGGAATGGAATCTGGTTTAGCAGACAGGCAGAAAATTTCTAGAGATCATTGAAGTTTGTTTCATGAAGTATATTCTAGCGAGTCGAAAGTGCTCTCTGATCTCAAAGTCATCATGACATCTCTAATGGGGGCTGATTGAATATGGTCACTGACATTGCATTCAACTCAAAGTCCATGTCGAAAAGATGTTATATGCTTCACGTATGGAAGGAGAGAATGCTTTTGTTTGTTTAGGTATGAAATGGTACATGCTGTAAATTAACCTTCATTGATAGTTATTTGGATTGTTGTTGTGCTATTACTTGCTCATTTTTCTGGAAATTTGTTGAGTGTTGATATTTATCAATTGACTGGTAATATTAGAGAGAACCATTAGCCTCTTACACGAGCTCTGATTCAGTCATTGGTGTTTGAATACAAGGGATACTTTATAGGATCGGGGAAACCCCCCACTCCCTGTTTTCAGAAGGTGTAATTAAAAAGACTTATTTTCTTTTCCATTCTTTCTTACATTGTTGTGCCAGGGAAATAATTTGCTCAAGTGCAATGTGTTTGTTTCCAAGGAAAATTGAAAATTTTTGGTTTATCAGTGAACACATCTGCCAAAAATTGCTTGTTGACAACGACTTAATAAGTCTTCGGTGTCCAAGTGAGGCTCCCAAGTTTCTGTGATATATTGGCTCGTGACATTGACATCGTTGAGAGAAGCTCGTTTGGGAATTTGGCCTTGAAAAATTTCTACTGTCACAACCCGAAAATCTCCTCCTTTTCCCCCCCCTTCAAATAAATACATATTGTAGGCAAATTAAATATAGTTAGTGTTCGCTATTTCTTTAACTTGAATCTCCCTTGTGGTCATAGTATCATGATTAATTATGATTTCTTTTAATTATTTAACATTAAAATCCGCGTAAATCAAGAAGACATGAGGCATTAAAGAAATATATTGGACATTAAACATCATAACAATTTCTATTTACATAATATAAAAGAGTGATGTTAACATAGTATAAAATATATAATAAAAAATATGTATTTTGATATAATTTTTTTTTTGTCAAAAAATGTGAAATAGCTTATATATATATAAGGAACATATTCAATTACAAGCAAACAACTTTCTAAGATTAAGGTATTGTTTGGTGAGAATGTGTTTGTTTTTGTGGTTTTAATTTTTTTTATGTTTTTTATTATTTTAATATGTTGATGTTAAAAATAAATTAAATTATTTTAATATATTTTCAAGTAAAAAGAAATTTGAAAAATAATCATTGCTAAAATTCTTATTTTTTTTATATTTTTTAATTATTTTGATGTGTTGATGTTAAAAATAATTTTTTTAAAATTTTTTCAATTTATTTTTAAGTAAAAAAAACTTTGAAAAATAATTACAGTAATTTTAAACATTACATATACATTTGTTTTTGTGGCTTCAAAAATACTGAATTTCTTTTTTTGCTTGAATTATTTTTGGATAACAAACAACAGCAAATATGAGATCTAAATCCACGCACAAAAAAACTGATATAATCTAAAACTATGAATGAGGGGGGAGGGGATTTTTTTTTTTTTTCATTGTCACAGTTCAGATCACCATGTTTATCATTTTCTGGCCAACATATTTCCTTTTGTCACAATTCAACCATCACAAATCAGATAGTTTATGGCACATCCTCAGTGTGAGCTCCATGCTGTTTCGTCGCTAGTTGGATAAAAGAGGGGCCGGAATACCCCAAAGTTGGTCACGGAGGTGTCTTTATTATTAGCAGAACTAATCAACAGACATTTAAAGATGGGAGCCTCTGTCCTGACCTGAGTAAGGAAGGGCTCGCATTACATTTTGAAAAAGAACAAGAAAAAAAAGAATGGCCCACAATATAGCACGAAATTCTATTTACATTATGACACCATAGTAATTGGACTCATAAACAGAAGGGGCAAGATAACATTAGGAGGCATTTGATGGATAAGAATCAGCAGCGATGGTTGAGGCCTGTGATTGTTTAATCAGTGGTGGCGAGGAAGGACTCCGACTGTTTTTAGTGTCTCTGCATCATGAGGCCTGCAATGCACGTACCACTCTTCATCAGCATTATTGAATAAAGGATTGTTGCAATCTGATATCAACAGTCATGTGTTTAGGAAAGAATTGATCATTCGAGTTTGTTTTGGCAGGCTCAATCATATATGTTACAATAGCATAACAGGTGAGATAATTTATTCCTGAATTCGGGATATGCAATGAGATGCACAATTAACAATTTATTCAAGTATTTAATTGACTGAAATGAATGAGACAAGGGAAAAAAAGTAAAGGTACTTGGTGATGGCATTAGCGCGGGTTGGATCAGGCAGGGTGGGATTATGTTCCTGGATATGAGCAACCTTCCTGAGGAATGATTTTTTGAGAAATTTACTAGCATCAGCAACTACTGTATCAGGGTCGTCTACCTCAGCAATGGATTCTCTCCTTTTCTTGTTTATGCTAACTCCTGGGCTATGCACCAGCTGCTGCTTCATGGTGTGGAAGGCCATCGCAACTGCTACAGTCATCATTCCTGCCATCACATAGAATGGTGCATACTCCCCCGTCGCTGCATACCTGAAATTGTGAGTGTTCATCAATACCCACACGATCATACCGTGGCTCTCTTATTTTGTAATAATGCTAATATATATGTGCAGTAATGGGCTACGGCTAAGAACATGACTGGTTTCATTCTTAATAAAACCTGCTGCTAGGCACATGATGGGCAGCATTGTGAGACATTGTTGCAAACTTGGGAGCGGTGGAGGATGCAAAAGGTCGACTCTGTCCCAATCGAGACAGCACTGCTCTCCACTGGCTCTGCCACCCATAGGACAAACGTAAATACCAGTATATGAATACAATTATCCTCCTGTATGAAACTAATCATCTCCCCATGTATCTCAATGCATAAAGAAAAAGAAACCGATAATAAACAGTAACTTACAGTAGCCCTGAAAGCCATTATTTCCGATCAAGAAAGAAGGAATGAAGAAGAAAGTTTCTTGGCTCTTGCTGATGAATGCGGTTAATGGATATCGACTCTGTTTCCTTGCTTTAAATAAACATCGTATGGAAGACTTTTGAAACCTCAGAAACTCTCGTGATTGAGAGGCGACACGTTGCCGGCATGCACTTTTTGTAGGAGAGAATATCTGAAAGTTTATTTCTTTGTGGCGACTAGCTAGTGAGTGTATCGATATGATAATTAGGGTGTTCGCCATAAGCAAAGTCTTTTAAACAAAGTATTTTAAAATTTCAACAGAATTATCTTACTTTAAATGTATTTTTAAATAAAATTTTTAAACTAAAATAAAAAAATTTAATTATATTTCAACAAAATAAACATAAATTCTAGATTCATGAGAAAAAAAAAGTTTATAAAAAAGAAGAAAAACACTAAAACTAAAATAAGGAGAGAAAAACTATATAAAATTTTGGAAAAAAACTTGTGCAAAACTCTTCTTTCACCCCTCTTTTTTAGTATGAATTTTAAAAGTTAAAAAGTTAAACAATTAATTTTGATAATAATTATAATTAAGTCTTACCATCAATAATTAAATTTGAATATAGTGACCACAAATATTACTTTTAAGATGAAAAAAATGGATTAGGTTTTGCAGAAAATATTTTTATAATAGATTATTAACATTCATGCGTTGAAAAAAATAATTTTTCATGAACTAGATTCAAGTCAAAATTTTATTTGACAAAAAATAATCTTTTAAAATCTAAAATATTATTTTACAATAAGCTCAAACTTGAGCTCCTAAAATTCTAAGTTTATTTTGCTTCGAAATTACAAGTCTGTGGTGTGTGTGAGTTCAAGCACAAAGCCCAAAACCCCTCTCATCTAAGAATTTAGGTGTCATTTAAACTAAATTTTAATTTTCTAGCCTTTTATTTTATAAATACTAAGAAAAAATTGTTTTCTTTCCATGCGGAATAAAGCTTGTGTAATACTGAATTTGTGAGAATATTTTAATCTATTTATCAAATTTAGAGGCACTCCTTTTCAAAATATTTTAATTTTTTTTATAAATTAATAGAAGATCACAATTGAGATACATATTTAAAAAACTAATGTATGAAAAAAAGGGGTCCGAGTCACAAGAGATTAATTAAGTACCATAATCCATGCACGCAGATAGAAAGATGACAAAAGCTTCTTGGATCGATCATCCCTCGGAAGAAAGAGATCTCGAATATCCTTGTCCATCACAACAAGCAAGGAGCTGGGGGAAAAAGAAGAAAGAAAACCCTGAAACTGCCATGTTTTTCCACAGCTTTCTTGAACTTCCTAGAGGTGCTATACATATAACTTGAGAAGTTCAAGAAAGCCGTGGAATAGCATGACCAGGTGTTGCAAGAAAATACCACCTCCAATTCTTCTCAGATCCGACGACTCTATATTTCTTTTCTCATGAACTGAAAAAATAGTGATACAAAGAGATTTATATGGAGCATTATGTCCATACAAAACCTCATACATGGACCCCCAGAACATATAATTTTGCTGCGTACCAGCTTTATAGAGGACAGTAGGGTTCCTTGGCGCACAAGAGCGCATTTTCCTCACCAAAGTCCCACTTTTCTAGTCAGTGCCAGCGCAGTGGGACATACGCAAACAATCACATACGAAGTAATGTTTTTAGAGATTTTTTTTTTTCCTTTTTTTACTTAAGAGCTTCGTGACATATTAATTAAATTCGAGGAATTATAAACTTGATGATGTGAATCAACCCAATTAATTATTTTTAATTTGATGATGTACTAAAATTCAAATAGTTTAAAAATAAAAATAATATATATAATTAATTAATCTGTTAATTTAAGTAGTTTTTTCTTCTCTCCTTAGCCAAGACACTCGGTAGGCCAAGATAGTTGTGATTAGTATCTGAGAAGAACTATTTTTGATGAATTTAAAGAATTTTCAATGTTTAAATAAATATATTTTTAGAGAGATAATGCAATAATGTTTTAAAAAGAAATGTTATATATATATATATATAGTAAAGAATAAAAAATTGTAAACCTGAGTTTTCTAAAAGAATCATTTGACCTTTATAATTTGTGAACTTTTTTTATGAAAAAAAACTAGAATATTATTTTATTTTGATAGCATTTCAAAATAAAATTCATTATTTATGATCATTAATTAACTTTTCAATAGATTTGCAAGAAATATATACAGTACAGAATGAGTTTTTTAAAAGAATCATTTTATTTTTATAATACATGAACGCTATTCTTTTATAAAAAAAAAATCTGAAATATTATCTTATCTTGATAGTATTTATTTAAAAAGGAATAAAAATTCATTACTTATCATTAATTAACTTTTCAGCAGATTTACCAAGGAATTGGAGGATACAATTTCAAAAGTGACAAATAAACACTCATATACATGAACTAAGAGGGTTTGCTCGCCGAGGGAGTGAAAATATAAAATTCTGAGAGAAAAGGAAACGAAATGGAGATGCAGGGGATCGAACCCTGTACCTCTCGCATGCAAAGCGAGCGCTCTACCATTTGAGCTACATCCCCACCCAGTAACCCTCGTTGCTATAAAATAATATTGAACATGTCTGGTTAAGAATTCCAAACACTTCAAAAAGATATTAATATTGACGCCAACGTCAAGCCTGTCTATTGATTACTACTGGCATTACATCCCAATAGAGGATGTCGTTTCCCTGTAATTCACTATATCCATAGACACGTTCGTTGTCGACGGCACTGTTCCTTCAACAATGTTTTTTAATTTTATCATTTCAAATTATATTATTATTTTTTTATACATTCACTTACATATAGTATCTTTGTAAACTGAAATTATATATGTTAAAACAAAATTAAAAAAAAGAGAGAAAAAAGTTAAATTACATGAAAAGAAAAAAATTCAGTTTAATTCCCAAGGTTTTAGCTTAAGCATTTATTTGGTCTTCGTAGTTTTTTAATTTTACATTTCAATTCTAAACTTTTTTTTTTTTCAAGTTTCAGTTCCCGGATGTTGTTAGAAGAGAGAGAAAATCACAAAAAAAAAAAAGGAGAGAAAAAGGGGTGATTATCAAATGCTTGGATTGCCTCACATTCCTCTTCTGTGCAAATCACCTCACGGATGGCTTTTAATGCTTCTGATTTCTTCAGTAATTCATCAATAATGATATCATCCTTGGGAAGCTGGCTGATGATTGCAGCAGCAATGGACCTTTCTTCGATATCCAGTGAAACAAAGGTGTTGATGGCAGTTTCTTTAGAAGGAGATGGTGGGAGCGGAACTCCATCAGGATGATTATCAGAAATACAGCTTATGAGTTTCAATGCCCATCTTTTCACCTCACGCTGATCACCAACCAGCGAATCGAATAGGTGGGCAATTGCATCCCTATGCGATCGGATTAGATCTTGAGCTGTCTGAGATTTAGAGCTGAGTTCAACTAGCAGGTGCAAGAACTGAATCTTAGTTTCAGGATCAGAAATGTTGACAGACTGCAGAAAGAGACTTACGTTGTGCTCTGATTGCAGCTCCTGCAGGCCCTGATGCGTCTCGAATTCAGGATGGTGGCAGGCTCCAACCAATAGAGCAAGAATCTTACCAGCTTCTTGTTTCAAGTGTGAATCAGATTGTACAAATGAGATGAGGCCTAACTGAAGGGGTATCTGTTGGGTATGCGACCAAAGTCCTACATTGGTTAGAAATAGAGAGGATCAAGGGTATATAAGGATGGACAAATATCTCCATTGGTATGAGGCCTTTTGGGTGTAACCCAAGAGCAAATCCATGAGGGCTTAGGCCCAAAGTGGACAATATCACTCCAATGTGGAGATAAGTGGTGTCTGTAATCCTTACAAGTGGTATCAGAGCCATGCCCCCGAGTTAGCCATGATGGATGAATCCTCGGAATGCCGAACAAAA